ATGAGCCCTAGTGAACATTTGTAAGATGTTCTCTTAACTATAGGCCACCTGTCTCAGATGCCTTCTTCACCAGCTTACTATACCATCCTTTCAGGTCAAAAGCTGACATCCTTTCTCATGAATATGACCAAATACCTTTGTGACCTTAGCTGACATCCAGTTCTTGCCTGAGGCCAGCAATGGCAACTGGAAGACACACCTTCCAGGTCAAAGAGCAAAGTTAACGTTCAACTTGCATAATCCTTAGTTTGGTAGGGGTCAAATTATCTCCCAATGTGAGGATCCTCACAGGATCCAATAATCAGACTTATTTTTTCTTGTCCTGGGGATCAAACCCAGGAGCATTCTATATTCCAGCCTTTTTAATTTTTATTTTGAGGTAGTATTTTGGCCTCAAACTTGTAATCTTCCTACCTCACCCTCCTGGGTAGTTGGAATTATAAGTATATGCCACTCGACTAGCCCAATAATAAGACTTTTAAGAAGCCACAGGTAGGGGGCTGGTGAGATGGCTCAGTGGTCTAAAGCACCTACTTAGAACAAACTTAGCTAAAGCACAGGGACCACTGTTCAATCCCCCAGCACCACATGCCAGCCAGCCCCGCCCCCTGGTGGGCTGAGCTGGCCACACACACACATACATAAATAAAATTAAAAAAAAAATTAACAGGAATTTAAAAAAAAAAAAAAGAAGCCACAGGTAGGGGCTGGTGAGATGGCTCAGTGGTCTAAAGCGCCTACTTAGAACAAGCTAAGCTAAGCAAAACACAGGGACTGCAGTTCAATCCCCCAGCACCACATGCCAGCCAGCCCTGCCCCCTGGTGGGCTGAGCTGGCCACACACACAAAAATGAATGGATAAATAAATAAATAATTCTAAAAAAAAAAAAAAAAGAAGCCACAGGTACCCACTAAGGCTCCATATTTCAGAGAAGAGCAAGTTTTGGTGTTACCATCCCCTGGACCTCAAGATACTCCTAGTTCAGCCTTAGGTTCCTCACAACTGCCTGTCCAGGTCCTCTCACCATCAGTACTCTTGGCAGACTCCTGCTGACGATGACCGTTTGGCAGCCATGCCTGCAAAACCAGATGGCAGGTCTGTGAACAGCAGGTACAAGTTGGGCTCCTCCATGGTAAAGGAGCTCCCTCAAAGGTTTCTTAGGTAGGGGTATATTTATGTCAAAGGCCAAAGTGTGGCTGGAGAAGGCACAGGGGCCAGAGCAGAGCTGAGCAAACTGAGGGTCCTCGAGTGGGTACCATGATGCCCACTCCTCAGTTTTTGGACTAGGCCTTTCTGGCATGGGGTGTCCCAGTCACACCAGGAGGCAGACATGCCCCAAACACCACATACTCGAAAGAGAGGCCAAAGTGAGCCAGATATCTGTGTGGGGCCTGCTGGGTCCCCATGCTCAGTCCTGCATGTCCCAATTTTCAGCCAGGAAGTGATTCCCAACAGAACGAGGCTTTGGGACTCATAATTCCTCCTTGCCCACCCACCAAGCTTAGCCCCATAGTGACAACAATAGAGAAAACAGCTGCAGACCACAGTCTCCAGAGTTACAATATCCCATTTAATCCTCAAAAGGACTCTGACAGGAAAATGGCTGCTTTTGGTGAAGCAACATGCATAAGGCCCTCAGTTCCAAAGATGAATCCACCTGGAATTATGAGTCCCAAAGCTTCGGTCTGTTGGGAATCACTTCCTGGCTGAAAAGCAAGGGCTGGGTGAAAGGAGCAGGGCCTTCATTTCCCCACCTCATCCTAACTTTAAGCCTCTGCTGGATGGGATGGTTTTTGACACATGCTTGGGGCCACATAATTTGTGCCCCATAAGACACTTCATTCCACACAACACAAGGGACTCTTTCAGGCCCCAGGAGGTTGTAAGGCAGAACCACACAGTTTCACAGATTTCTAAGACTCCAGAGTCCCACCTCCTAGCAGGGTCCAGGTAAGGGGAAGCAGAAGCAGAGGGCCCTGGAATGTTGCTCACCGCATGAAAATCTCTGCAATCCGGAAGCCGATTCCAGAGCCACCACCAGTGATAAAGGCCACTTTACCCCTGCCCCAAGAAAAAAAAAGAAGAGGTCACTGTTGTTTTAAAAGGTCATGGTTGGGCCAGGGACATAGTTCAGAGGCACAAGTGCCTGCCTGGCAAGTGCAAGGTCCTGAGTTTGATCCCAGGTACAAAAAAAAAAAAAAAGTCACTGTTGCAGGGCATGGTGGCACACTCCTATGATTTCAGCATTTGGGAGGCTGAGAGAGGATTGCCAAGAGTTTGAGACCAGCTTGGATTACACAAATTTAAGGCCAACCTAAATTATATAGCAAAACCCTATCTCAAAAATCCAAAGAGGGGGCTGGTGAGATGGCTCAGTGGTCTAAAGCACCTACTTAGAACAAGCTTGGCAAATCACAGGGACCACGGTTCAATCCCCCAGCACCACATGCCAGCCAGTGCCGCCTCCTGGTGGGCTGAGCTGGCCACACGCGCGCGCACACACACACACACACACACACACACAAATAAATAAAAATTAAATAAAAAAAATTAAATAAAAAAATCAAATGTTAAAAAAATCCAAAGATGTCAAGGTACTGAATTCAATTTTCAGTCCAAAAATAATCACTGTTAACTGAAGAAGAGGAGCAGTGGTGTGGCTGGAGTGGGGGACCCACCCAGGGTGAGAACATTTTTCAGGAGGCATTACTAGCCAATAAGAAAAATTGTACTGTAACAATTTACTCCATTGGAATATAAAGATTTGAGTGCATGGAAATACGAGTTGGGTTTGGTTTTTGTTTTTTGCTTCCCTCCTCCCCATCCGGTTGAACTTCGAACCGACCTTATACTTGTCATGCAGGCCCTTTTGCAGCTCAGCTATATTCCCAGCCCTTTTTTGTTTTTTTAGACAGGGTCTTACTATGTAGTTCAGGCTGGCCTCAAACTCGTGGCCACCCTCCACCTTCAGCCTTTCACGTGCTAGGATTCCGGAGATTGAACTCAGGCCCCAGGACTTGCCAGGCAAGCACTTATTCCACTGAGCCATCTCCCCGGCCCGCTCCTACATTTCCTATTTAAAGCGGTTAACATATTCAGGTATGTTCAGGGCACAGGAAGGCTAGTTACCTGGGGTGGGGGTGGGGGTGGGGTGGGGTCAGGGATCAGGCAGAAGACTTTGACTCCCTGAACTAGGACTTCAATTCAGTATAATTTTGTAAGAAAATAAAACGTCATTTTAAAACCTGTTATTCCTTTGATCATTTCCTAGATCTTCAGAGAAAACGATTTTAACCTAAAATTCTCTACTCAGAAAGTTGAGACCTGTTTTCAAAACGTACTTCCTCCCACACTCCCTCTCCCCGCCTCGGCAGGATCCCCAGGCAAGCAAATCAAACTCAGGCTTCACTGAGACGATCTCAAGACCCCAACCAGATTGTTGGCCTCGCACTGCGGACAACCCACCGCCCCCTGCCCTGCGTCTGCTCTGGTCCTTTGCTGCTCCGGGTAGGCCCTCTAGGAGCTCACTGGAGGAGGTCCGGGCAGAAGCGATGGCGGTAATTAGGGAGACAGTCATCCTCTTCAACGTCGGGCGGTGGCTGGTTCATGGCTAGAGGGAAGAGGCGGCTGAATTCGCCCAGGTCTGCAGCAGCCAAAGAAAGGAGTAAGGGGAATCAGCGCTACAAACAGAACTGACCTACGGTGGGAGCTCCGCCCCCCAGCCCTCCTCCTGAAACCCCGCCCCTCCACAAAGACTCCTTCCCCACCACCTCTCCAGAAATCCCACCCCAAGGCCACGCCTCTCGCCAGGACGACCCACCCACCAAGGCGCATGGCCTCCTGGGACTGAAAGTGGGCGGGCCTGAGCGCCGAGGCGCAAGCTTTCTGCGACGCTACCTCATTGCGGGGGGTGTGCGTTAAAGGCTCAGAGGCATACCGGCCGGTAGTCCGTAACCCCGCCCCAACCCTGCACTGGATGTCATGTTCAATGATTGGAGCTGGCTGCACCCCACATATACTCGTTCAGTGGACTAAGGCATGGCTCACGATGCAGAAGGCCCTGCCTCCTGGTCATGCTTCTAGCTGGGCAAAAATGAACAAGAGATTTGAGCCAAGAAAGCAGAAAAGAGGCTCCCTCATGTGGCCAGCCCCGGACCTTGGTCCTAAAGTTTCAGGCACATTAGCCCTGTCCCATCTGCCATGGCCACTTCAAAGAAAACACAGGACCTGGACATCTGTCTGCTACCTGGGCCATAGAGAGATGTGACCTGACCCAAAGATGAAGTGTGACCCTCACGTCAACATGAAGGAAAACGGATGCCAGGGAGCCCCCTTCATCTGTATATCACACCATGAAGAGGAAAGGGCCATAAGCTGTCTTGGGGGTGGCTTAGCTCCCACTTGTCTCTTCTTGCCACCTTCCTTCAGCAAGACCAGATAGGTGGGGGCCAGGATGGCATCAATCAGGAACTCAGCTCTGATTCTCCCAGATATCAGACTGCAGGGCCCTGGATTCTTGCCTACTTCTCATATTCATTGAAGTCTGGGATTCGCTCACTCCTGCATATTTAGTTCTGTGGGCTTCTATTTTATTGTTTACAACTGCGATAAAATCATCACTGCTAGAGGTGGGGAGATAGCTCAGGGGTCTAAGCTCCTGCCTGGCAAGCGCAAAGGCACAGGTTTGATCCCTGGCACTGCATGCCCTGCCACTGTGCCAGCCACTCAAACTGTGTGTGGTGGTGCATGCCTATAATCCCAGTGCTGGGGAGGCAGAGACGGAGGATCACTATCAGTCTGAGCTGTGTAGTGAGACTCAGTACCAAATAAATAAATAAGATTTAAAAAAAGCAAAAAAAAGATTCTTAAAAAAAATCACTGCTGTCTCAGAGATGGCAGAAATCATAAGCACACTTTCATTCTAAAGAATGAATTTTAATGTTTCTCCTTTGCAGCAGGTGAGGTCACCTCTAAAGACACCCCAAAAGTTGTCTGGCACTTTGATACAGGATTTGGTCTAATTTTGTGCTGGCATAGGACACAGAAAGGCACGTAAAGTTGAAGTTCAAACTCCTGTGGGGTGGTGTGGGGCAGAAGGTGAACAAGGAAGTGGTTTAGGAGAGACAGGCAAGGTGTAGGCTTGAGTTCTTGTTGACCAAGGTAGTTGGTCCTTGGTGGACAATGGAGTGCCAAGGGTGGCATGAGCCCTCAGGCTGGGTAGGTGCTGCTATCGTGGCCACCGTCTGCCCAATTCACCAGCTCACTATTCTGGAACCACAGCTGGATCTCCCTCTGAGCTCCTTCCACAGAGTCACTGGCATGAATGATGTTCCTGTACCAGGCAACAGGTGGCAAAGGTAAGGTTCAAACTCAAGTGTACACTCTGGGGCTCCCTCTGTCTATGGGAGAAGGGATGACTGTGCAAAGGGGAAAGACTAACAGAAGGTAGAAAACTGTACCAGCCTGGCCTCAGCTTCTTACCCATGACCTCTGGGGCTAGCCCATATTCCAACTTCTATCTCCTTTCTACAGGAGCTATCCCAGGCCAACCCCCTCAGATGCCTGACAATACAGACAAATAAAAGACAATGACACAGGGCCAGGGAGATGGCTCAGTAGGATAAGCGCTTGACTAGCAAACACAAGGATCTGAGTTCAATCCCTGGTTCCGCCAAAAAAAAAAAAAAAGAAAGAAAAGACAATGATACAATATACACATAACAAACAAGGAGAACATGTCATCTCTTTGAAAAGATTGTAAGAAAGCTGTTCTAGTCAAAGTTAGTTGTGACATCCCAATATCAAGTCTCTTTTGGCTTCACCTTTAGCCAAACAAGATATCTAAATAATGTAAATGGGCCTCTGAGGCAGGCTGCCACCCCAAACATTGGCCCTGGGTGATTGTGTCAGGGTCCCCTATACCTGCTGATATGAATGCTGAAATCTCCCCGGATGGTTCCAGGGGCAGCCTCAGTGGAGTCCGTGTGTCCTATCATCGCTCTTGAGGCATGGACCACATTGTATCCCTCCCAGACCTGCAGCATAAAGTAAATACTGGGAAAGGTGAGGAAACACCAGGAGTCCTTGGGCTCAATCCAGGCCCTTCCCCTTTGCTTGGAGAACACACCCACACTCCCCCCACTGACTCTATCAGACTGTACCATGGCCACCACAGGCCCAGAGCTCATATAGCTGATGAGGGCTGGGTAGAAGGGCTTCCTCTGTAGGTCCTGGTAGTGCTCAGCAAGGATGTTCTCAGGTGCCTGAGTAGCATTGGGGGAGAAGAGAAGTCCCTGGAGATGAACTGCCCGGTCCCAACCTCAGGGTACCCTGCAGATAACACCCATATGGACTGACACCCACACCATAGCACAGATACCTCCTCACCCTTGCAAGTGTCAATGCCAAGCTGAAATGTAAAGGGCTAAGCATGAACCTATCACCACAGCACACCACAGGCCTTGGGCAAATACCTGCAGCATCTTCATCCCAACCAGTTTGAAGCCTCGCCTCTCAAAGCGCTGGATCACAGTCCCAACAAGCCGACGCTGGACCCCATCTGGCTTTACTGCCACCAAGGTCCTCTCCTGGGTCCATGTGGGCCCCCCTTTAAAAAAGAAGGGGCTGGAGCTGACACTGCCTTTGTTATGCCTCCCTGACTGGCCTTCCCTGCCAGGGGCCAGGCATCACCAGGCTTCTGCCTTTGTGCGGAATTCTAGAAGGAACAAACCTAGTGCCCACCATGGCCCAGCCACTCAGAAACATCCAGGGCAGTATATCCCATGGGCTTCTTTCAAGTAGTAGCCAAAGCTGCCCAAGACTGAGCTGGTTTCCCCTAAGAGAGCATCTGAGAAAATCCAGACAGCCAGAAAGAGGCCAGACAGCCAAAACATGCTTCCTGGAAGTACTCTTGACTCTGGCATATTTCTGACTCCTATCTTCCAGTGTGGACAGCATCTGAAGCCCAGGTCAGCTATAGGAGGACCCTAGAGCCTTCCTCTGGGAATGAAGTGAAGTGAAGGAACAGTGCAGACTTGGGAGAGAGGAAATACACTCCCTTCAAGTGGGCAGTGCAGGGACACAGGATTGAAGATGTACAATCCCGCAGCAGCTGAGAGGTCAGTGGGAACTCCAATCTCACTTCTGTTCTGCCTTGAACCTCCGGCCCGGAAGTCACCCACTTGCAGCCCCGGAGGAACTCCCACAGCCTAATAAACATTTCATCCCAGGGCAAATGCTGCTTTTGTGTGGGGTGGGAGAGGACAGGCTGACTGAAGGCCAGGGAAAGAAGCCTCCTAGCTTGTTTCTTCCCAAAACCCAGTTCACGGGGACCCCCATTTAGCCCAGGGCTCTGAGGCCCGACTGTCCAGCGTGGAGGAGGCAGTTCACATGTTATTTAGCTACGGGAAAGCATTTATGGATGGGGAATGGGCTCTGGGCCTCAGGCAGGGTTGGGCCTGGCGGTCTTAGGCCTCAGGTTCCAGCTTGGCTAGAAACAAAAGCCCGGGTTTACAGCGGCTCCACCAGCAGGCTTCCTCTGCTAGGATGATACCCGACTTGCAGAGCCACAGTCTACTGGGGCCCTCAATAAGCCCACCGCGCTCGCCCACTTTGCTTTTTTTTCTTCTCCTGGCCCTTGGTTACCCCAGATCCAGGCAGCTAAACCCGCACTTTCCCTTCCCGCAGCCACACGTGCGCGAACAAAGGCCGCAGCTGCTCGCCAGCCCTGGCGGGGTTCCACTCACCCGAGCTGGGCCGCACGAGCAGGCGCGGGCCCGGGCCGCGCGGCCCAGAGAGCAGAGCCCGCAGTGCTGCGCGCCCGAAGAGGCGGCCCATGGCGCTACCCCGGCCAGGTGCGGGGGGGGGGAGGTGGGGGGGTGAGGGAGGAGGGCGCAGGGCGGGGCGCTGCGGGCCCGCCCCTGACTCCGCCCCGCTGGAGCCCCTAAGTGCACCGAGGTGCGTGTATTAGTTTCTGTTAATATCAGAAGAAAACCAAAATTACGGTAAAACAATAACGAATCCAGCTAGGATTATATTGGTCTTTACATCAGTTCAATCTTTTTTTTTTTTTTACAATTTCTTTTCTTCCATTGAATCTTTAAGCGTGCTTCCTGGAGGAAAGGTCCAAACAAGTCATAACTCGCCCCCATTTTGCATGGCATGCGGCTCCGTCCGCGGTTAGATTCTGAGCTACTGGAAATCACACCCGTCATCTGAGGAGGGCGCTAGAGACAGCCTTAAAACAAA